ATTGGTGGCTCTTAATCGTTCACTGGGTCACAGGACCTCTTTGAGACTCTGATGGAAGTTCTCACCCTCCCCTCCTGAGTAACACACATGGGCACAGACACACAGACCTCTCGGGTAACCCCAGGAGCATTAATAGACCTTCCAAAGCCTATTCATAGTGACCCACTGACCCAAGGTAAGAAATGCTAATATTTAAAAGAGCTGCTAAAATAAAATATTAAAGGAGCAAGGGTTCCCAGGAGAGCTAACCTTTGACCTGGGCCTTGAAAGAGTTCTGCAGTGTAGAAGGGCATCCCAAGCAAAGGGAACAGAACCAGCAAAGACCTTCAGATTAAAATGTCTACAATTCACTGCTCCCTGACAAGTTGGGGGGAGTTGTATGGTATATACCAAAAGGTCCAGGTAGGGCAGGAATGGGAACAGTAACTGATGATTGAGTGATGTCACCCTCTTTCCTACAAGGCATCCTCAGAGCATTTCAGTCTGCTTCTTGATCCACACACGGTTTGTCCTTTTCCCTGTAGCAAAGTTAGGTGGGTAAAATGTGTGAGACTTTTCTGACCCATCACAGTGGTGAGTGCACATTTCCTTGGCACCAGCAAGTCAAAGGAAAAAGCCAAGTTTGTTTTAGCAGGCTCTTCCCAGAACCAGCTCACAAGTTCAGGGAACAGTCCTTATCGTGTGTGCTTCTTGGAGTTTAATTTGGGTCAGACTGCTAGATGAGCGTTCTACCTTTTCCACCAACCTGGACTTAGAACCTGAAACCATTTAGGACAACCTGAAATGTCCACTTACTGATCGCGGTATGGAAGGCACCTTGCATGGAAGGCTAAACATTGACAGTTGCACAACACAGCTCAGAAAAATAATGATGACTTAGATTTGAGGACAGTAGGTAAACCTGCACTTAGAGGCAAAAGTCAGTGTGGTTCCTCTGTTTGGTCTGTAAGGAGTGTGATGGGCATGGATGTATGTGTGAGACTACATTACTAGATTACTAACTGTGAAGAATACTGCAGTTGCAAGTGATAGAAACAGAACTCAATCTGGCTTAAGCAATTTTTTTTAAAGGAATGTAAGTTGGTTCAGTAACTAAAATGTTCAGGGGTCAGTGTCTTCACTGTAGCCAGGGCCTCACTGATATCATCAAGACTTGGTTGCTTTCTCAGGCCTGCCTTTTTCTACAATCAGGTAGTTTGTCTTCTCATGGAGACACCAGCTTAGTAACCCCAGTGAAAAGCACCCCTTAAAATTCCAATAAAAGTCAGGCTACTTGATTTGGGTCATGTACACATTCCAGGAGATGCTTAGCCCTACCTAACTATAAGGAATGAAAACGGGATAAGGATGATTCCCTAAAGGAAAATAGGGGTGTTGCTGCCAGAGGAAGGTGGCATGGGTACCAGGAAAGAAAAAACAATCATGTTTTACCCTTTAATAACCTGGAATGTTTCCCAAAGAAGGTACTGCCCTATCTTAGTAGGCCATGAAGTCTGCAAATATTTACTGGATTTCTACAACATGCCCCATGCCATGCTGGATATTTTCAGATTTTCCTGTTCACTAAACAAGACATTCATTGACCATCTGCCCAAAACTGTGCACACGAGCAAGCCACACTCCAGACCTTAAGAGCTCAGAAAACTGTGTCACATGTCATGACAGGGATAATCCGAGGGAGGCTGTGGGAATGTCCTGCAAGTCATCCAACCTGGGAGGCCCAGCAAAGTATCATCTCAAGATGTGAAGGATTACAAGGAATTAGATACAGAGCCAGGGGAAGATATAAGGGAAGATTATCCCAGGCAGACGGAACAGTGTATGCAAGGTCCCAAGAGCTGAGGTGGTGGTGTTTTCACGAAACCAAAACAAGACTTGGGTGACCCTGAAGTGTAGAGAATAAAAAGATGTAATGAGCGCCGGGTTACTTTAAATGAATAGTAAGGCATTTGAATTATATCTCTATAAAGCTGCAGTTAAAAAAAAAAGAAAAAAAAAAAGACGTGATGAAGCAAAGGCAAGCCCAGATGGCAGAGAGCCTGTAAGTCACCCCTCAGACACGAACTTGATCTTGACATGGCTTCAGGAGCCTTGTGGAGGGACTGATGGGAAAGGATTTGCTACTGGGCAGGGAAAGGAGTGGATGGGGTAGAAGTGGAGAGTGAGACGGTAGTGAGGTCATAGTGGGGTGGACTTGAGTCCATTTAGATGATTAGCTCCTCCTTTCTTGCTCTGATTCAGTGTGTGGCTTTGCATAAGACACTTCCCCTCTCTGGGCCTCAGTCTCCCCATCTGCCAAAAGGAGATCTGCAGCCACTTTGGAAAACAGTCTGGCAGTTCCTCAGAAGCTTAAACAAAGTTTCCATATGATCCACTCCTAGATAGATATCCCAAGAGAAATGAGAACGTATGTCCACACAAAAACTTGTACACCTTCGCTCACAGCAGCATTATTCACAATAGCCAAAAAGCGGAAACCACCCAAATGTCCATCAACCGATGAATGCATGTATAAAATATGGTATATCCATACAATGGAATATCATTCAGTAATAAAAAGAATGAAGTTCTGACAACCTATGATGCGATGAAGTGTGGAACTAAATGAAGACAATCACAAAAGATCACATATACGATCCTATTTCTTATGAAATGTCCAGAATGGGCAAAGCCATAGGGTCAAAAGATAGATTAGTGGTTGCCAGGGCTTGCGAGGAGGAAAATGGGGAGTGATTGCCAATGGGTACAGGTTTCTTTTGGGGGTAATGAAAATGTTCTGGTGGGAATGTAAATTGGTATAACCACTATGGAGAACATTATGGAGGTTCCTTAAAAAACTAAAAATAGAATCACCATATGATCCTGCAATCACACTCCTGGGTATATACCCGGAAAAAACTATAATTCACAAAAAATACATGTACCCCAATGTTCACTGCAGCACTATTTACAATAGCCAAGACATGGAAGCAACCTAAATGTCCATCGACAGATGAATGGATAAGAAAGATGTGTTATATATATACAATGGAATATTACTCAGCCATGAAAAAATGCAATAATGCCATTTGCAGCAACATGGATGGACCTAGAGATTATCATACAGTACTAAGTAAAGTAAGCCAGATAAGAGAAAGACAAATATATGTTATCACTTGTATGTGCAATCTAAAAAAAAAAAGGTACAGGGACTTCCCTGGCGGTCCAGTGGTTAAGATTCCGTGCTCCCAATGGAGGGCACATGGGTTCTATCCCTGGTCAGGAAACCAAGATCCCGCATGCTGCATGGCACAGCCATAAATAAATGAATAAATAAAATGAATAAATAAAAATTTTAAAAGGTACAAATGAACTTATTCACAGAACAGAAATAGACGTACAGACATAGAAAACAAACTTATGGTTACCAAAGGGGAAAGGGGTGGGGGATAAATTAGGAGTTTGGGATTAACATATACACACTACTATATACAAAACAGATAACCGACAAGGAACTACTGTGTAGAACAGGGAACTATACTCAGTACTTTATAATAACCTGTTAGGGAAAAGAATCTGAAAAAGAATATATGTGTATATATATGTGTGTGTGTGTATATATATCTGAATCACTGTGCTGTACACATGAAACTAACACAACATTGTAAATCAATTATACTTCAATAATAAAAAATATAATAAAGAAGAAAATGTTCTAAAGTTGTGGTGATAGGGACTTCCCTGGTGGCGCAGTAGTTAAGAATCCGCCTGCCAGTGCAGGGGACACAGCTTGAAGCCCTGGTCAGGGAAGATCCCACATGCCGTGGAGCAACTAAGCCCGTGCACCACAACTACTGAGCCTGCGCTCTAGAGTCTGTGAGCCACAACTGCTGAGCCTGCGTGCCACAACTAATGAAGCCCACGCACCTAGAGCCTGTGCTCTGCAACAAAGAGAAGCCACTGCAGTGAGAGGCCCTCGCCCCACAACAAAGAGTAGCCCCGCTCGCCACAACTAGAGAAAACCCACGCGCAGCAACGCAGATCCAACAGCCAAAAATAAATAAATAAATGTATTTTTAAAATGAAATAAAAAATAAAATTGTAATGATAGCTGCACAACTTCGTGAATATAATAAAACCCACTGAATAGTATACCTTAAATAGGTGAATTTTGTCATGTGAATTACATCACTGTTAAGTGGGAGAGGGGGATCATAAGCCCTTGGCAGCTGACATCAAGATCTCTCATGGTCATGGCTACGAGAGGTTCTTGTAGACTATCCAGGCTGCAGAAGGAGGGCATCGAGGAAACATCTGCGACTGCTGGGTGCAGAGGGGTGTCAGGGGTCTGCCAGCATGTCCCTGAGCCTCTCCTGTGCTTTAACCCCCTGCCCTGCCACCCCTCCTGCTGACCCTGCTCTCACCTTGGTCCCACCTCCCCATCTCCCGGGCTCTGGGGCAGCCTGGGAAGGTCAGTGGGCTTCAGAAACCTGAGTTCTGTATCCCTGCCCCTCCAAAGTGGGCTAGTACCCAATACCTAAAATGTTTTATTTAAATTTATTTTTGTGAGCAACCAGCTCACAAAATGCACAGCCAACCCTGTGCAATCTTTTCCTTTCTTCCATTTCTTTGTGAATTTCTTTTTCACTTAAAAGTTCTTATTATGGAAAATTTCAACCATACACAAGAGTGGAGATGATAGTATAAGGATGTACCCATCTCCCTCCACTGATAATGAATAATTCTCAACAGTTTGCCAGTATTTCATGTCTCTTCCAAACCCGCTTTTTTGCCTGGAGTGTTTTAAAAGTAAATCTTAGATACGATATCATTTCACACATAAATATTTTAGTAAGTAGCTCTAACAGGTAAGGAATTTTTAAAACATGGCCCACTATGCCGTTATTCACCTAGTCCAAACATGTTTATCCTTTAGTCTGCTAAGGACCAACCAATGTTCAGACCACCCCCAGGCATCTTAAAACGCCTGTGTGCAGTTGGTTTGTTTGGGTGAGGATCCCAACAAGGCCCACATGTGGCATTTGACTGCTATGTCTCTTAAGTCTCTTTTATAACATTTTCCCCTCCCCCTGCTTTTTTTCAAGCTGTTTATTTGTTGAAGAAGCCACGTATTTGTTACAGAAGTCTGTGAGTCTTTTTGAAAGTATTCTTATCTGGATGGGAAACCAAATCTTTAGATTATTTTTCGCTTCAAGGAGAGATTAAGGGGAATTAACGATAGATAGATGAATTCGTGATAGATGCGTAGAAAATTAAGCAAGTAAAAAACCAAGCAACACTTACCCCAAGAAAAACAGAACATCTAGCAAAGGAATTATAATCACGGTACACTCCTGACTCAGCCTGAATAATCTGTCTCGTGGTTCTTGTAAATGCAGACTTATGATGTAAACAAAGGCTGCGCAGAAAAATGTGGAAGGCAGTATGAGAGCTAAATCTTCGCGTTCCTGTGTAGTAGTCAATAGGTAGGATCTAAAACTGAAAACAACTTAACATTAGCAGCATAAATCTGACGCTTAGAAAGCACATATAAAAACCAGAAGGGATAATCAGAAATACCAGAAAGAGTTGAAGGGTATTGGGAGTGAGAGGGAATGAAATAAGGAACAGTTGATTTTAAAGTGTGTACTGGATAATCAGACTCATTAACAACAAAAAACTATGCTTTTTGAAAAGACTGGGTTCGTTTCGTTGGTATCCGTGGAGGCTAAAATCTGAGAAGGAATGAGTTAAGACTGCAGGAACCCTTGAGGCTTAATTTGGCCAGTTGAGTGAAAGGGTATAATTGTTCCTGTCCTCAGAGATAGGACAGCGGGCAGAACACAAAGAATGTCCTCCAGGCGGCAGCATCTCGCCCACGCCCCACCGCACCCACCACCCCACCGCACCCGCCACCCCACCCACCCCCCACCCCACCCCCGTGCTGCCTTTTGTTCCTCTGCTCCTGCCCGCCAGAGCTACCAGCCAGAACAGAAATGCCAGCCAATTCTCCTGTCTAAGCAGGAGACGTCATCATTGCTGTGACTCACCTTTGCCTTTTCCTTCTCTCTCCCTTTCCTTGGGAGCTTCCCAGGTACTCTAGGTTAGGAGCTCCCAACAACTCCCAACGCTGGTGGTTTGCTGTCCTTTCAAGAGATCCCAGTTGGAGGCCTATTTTCAGACTCAAACTCCTAGCACAGTTGGAGCCACCTGGAAGGCCTGGGTTTTTCATCTCCCCTTCTCTCTCTGAGATGCCTCCAGAGGGGCAGGATGGTCACTGGCTCTTATGGTTTGGCTTCTTATTTGCTGTGTGTCCTTGGACAAATTACTTCACCTCTCTGAGCTTGGACTTGCTGGCTGTAAAATAGAGAGCATAATAATATATAGGGTTGCTGTCAGGAATTAAAAAGAATAATGCATGCACGCTGTGTAGCACAGCTCCTGGCAGACTAAGCACTTGGTAAACAGAGCTACTGGCCATCCCCCATAAGCTTGGAATCATCCCCTGCCCATTCTTGCTGTCCCAGAGTCTCCAGGATGATGCTAGGAGCTCCTCTGAGAGTCAGGATACTCCCCACCTACACCTGGCACCCCATGCTCCCCACTTATGTTCACCTCCACCCCCCAGTCAGTCAGTCTCCTCTTTCCATTGGATCAGCTTTCATCTTGGCCTCTGGGCAAAGGGATCATAATATCCCTTGCCTTTGTGTGTGATCTCAAAAGCCCTACCAATCCATGGTTTGGAAACACAATGGGATTGGGGCTCCTGGCTCCAAAGAGGTATCCAGGGAGCAGCAGCGAAAGGATCCTGAGTGGATTGGGGGGTTGGGCACTGTCAAGGCAGCGAGACTCTGCAGGGGCATGAATGGGTGGTCCACGCACACACACCCTGCCCTCCTCGGGGGAAACTGAGGAAGGGAACCAAGCCGGCTCCAAACCTGCTGAGGGAATCTCGACATCTCTAAGGAGACTCATTAGAGAGTTCACAGGAGGCACTGAGAAGAGGGACCTGGACCCCGCAGCTTCTGTAGTGTGCCCCTAGAACTGTCCTCCCACCAAGACTGCCCACAGGGGAAAAGACAGAGGTCCCTCAAAGGAAATTAGGATACTGTCAGGAAGAGAGATCTTGGACAATGCCAAAAAATGCCAATTATCTATTACACATAGAATCAGGATCTAGATAACTTCCCACAAGATCAGAACAACTGGTTAGATCTAACAAAATAAAATAAACAACAAATAAATGTAGCATCCTACAGTGAGGGTCAAGAGACCAAATGCACACAACGAGATGAGGAAGACCTAGTCAATACTGGGCAATAAAGTGATGTGGCTGCCAGAAACATTACTTTAGGGTGAGGTCATATTAATAGAGGAGTAGAATCTAGGAAAGGGGAGGTGAAAGTTCAGCTTTATTCTCAACTGGGTTCAGTTCCAAGAGTTATACTTTAAAGAGGACATCGTTGACCTGGTAAAAAGGAAACAGGAGAGATGTCACAATGGTGAAATCCCAGAACCCTGTCCTTCGAGGAAAGACTACAAGAACTGGGAGCGTCTGGCCTGGAAGGAGAAAATTCTAGAGAAATGAGAGATGACTTTACAATCCTGAAGGGGTTCCCACAAGAAAAACAGTAAAGCTGGTCAGATGATATGGTGAAATGGGAAAAGCCTGAACCCTCTCCCAGAGTCAGAAAAGCTGGATTCAGTCTCCACCGTTTATCAGCTACTAGGGACTGAACACCCTTCAAACTGCAACATGTCAGACACAACTAATGGCTGAGTATTGCTTTTCTGTGAGAGACGCAGGTAGGAAAACACTGGGAGAGAGATTTCAGCTCAAACCTAGGAAGGATCTTTCTTTCTTTTTAAAATATTTATCCTTCTTATCTCTGATCACAAAAGAAATACATGATTGTATTAAACATTGGTGAACAGAAAAGCAAAATTAGATAAAAATCGCATTACCCACTATTTACCTTCTAATATTTAGGGATAGGATAGATGATTGATTGATTGATTGACAGATGTTAACAAAAATGGGATCATACAAATACTTATCTGAGAGAATTTAGAGTATCAGCATTAATGATGTATATATTAGTATGTAAGGATGCTTACTGCAGTATTGTTTCTAGGAGAAAAAAGAAAAAGCTGTCAACCACCTGATTACTTATCAGTAGGGGAATACTGGGAATGTTTGCGAAACTAACGGTACATCCACAGCATACAATACTGTGCAGCTAATTGAAAGAAAGGGTGGAGCTAGTATGTACTGCCTTCGAAATGTTTCCAACATATATCTGCTTAAGGCAAAACAAAGTTATAGAATAATAGGCATAGTATGATCCCATTTTTGTAGAAATGCATGCACATATATATTTTATATGATGCAAAGAAAACAGAATGGTGTTAACAATGGGTATATCTGGGGGGCAGAGTTGGAGAGACCAAGGATAAGACAGTTCATGTGTTCTTTGAACATTTCTATGTTGCTTGAATTGGGACAATCAGCACATATTACTTTTATAATTCAAATGACTGAAATTTAAATAAACAACAATCTACTCTGGACATGTCTCCATGCCATTAAAGATGCTACATCATATTTAATGACCACATGTATTCCTTGTGTGGATTCCTCTTAATGTGTTGAACCTAATGGTGGAGATTTAGTACATCAGGAGCTGTCCAAAGAGGGACCTGGAGCATTCTGACAGACAGACCTGAAAATGTGCAGACCCACTGACCTAACCATGCCTCAGGGAGGAAATTATCTGATAGGTACACGAGTGCACGTGCACAAAGATGTCTATGCGAGCATGTCCCTGCCTCATTATTCCTGCTAGCAAAAGGCTAGAAACAATCTACATGTCCAACCTCATGAACCAGATAAATAAAAATGACAGGCTGATCATATGCTGTAGTTCTCAACACTGAATACAAGAAATGAGATGGATCTGTAGAAATGTACATGGAAAATGTGCCAGGATATATTGCAAAGTGAAGGGGAAAAAGGCAAGTTACAGAACGACATGTACAGTATGATTTTTTTCTATTTAAAAAGTATATATGGCTGTGCCTTGAAAAAGCTGAAGGATACACATCAAGCTGTAGGTAGGATTTACCTGTAGGTCCATATGTAGTATGTATGTAGCCCTATAAGGATATAGGTCTAGAGACATTAAGGAAGTGAGCTCCCCGTCCCAGGAGGTATGCAAACAGAGATTGGCTGCCCCGTTTTCGGGGATGCTGCGGAAGTGATTTCTACATCCCTCGGAGGTGACCTCAGTTCCCTTCTTAGCCCTGAGAATCTCTCAGAGAGGGGTGGTCAGGACTGGGAGAAGAATCCACCCCTAAGGGGAAAGGGTTAAGCGGGGATGGCGCTCCTGTGGGCGGGCTCCGCCATCGGCAGCGCCGGGCTCTGTTAGCCAAGTCTGAGCATCTCGGAGGATGCGGCGCGGCAAGCGGCTTCAGGGACGCGCGCAAGGTGAACGCGGGGGCTGCCAGCTCGGCGCCCAGGTGAGGAGCTGGACTAGGGCGGGGGTGATGGCGGGACCCAGGCAGGGAGCATGGCCTGCAGCCCCCCTCTCAGGTGCGAGCGGCAGGGCCTGCACCAGCGTGCACCCCCCACCCAGGACACTGCGGGAAGGCGCGGAGCCAGGGGAGAGGAGATGGAGGAAAAGGAGAGGTAACCTGAGATGGACCAGCTCCTGGAGGCTGCCCTGCGGCGGCCCTCGCCCTGCCCCCAGGCCGGCCTCTTCCCAGTCCCTGAGGGAGGGAGAACACCCCCCCACACACACAAAAAAATCTCTTCAGCAGCAGGAAACCAGGACTGTGCAGCCCCCTTCTCATCCGGAGGTGACTACATCTCTTGGATTGCGGGTGGTGAGTAGATGGTAGATGCTTATCGCTGAAGGCCCAACTCTGCTTCTCCTGCTCTGCAAAGCTTTTCGGACCCCCTGTGTAAAATGAGCCAATGCGGGTTTCACAGCCCCTAGTATGGCCATTTGCAGCCTGTGTGACCTTGGGCGAGTTGCTCAACCTCTCTGAACCTTGCTTTCTTCCCCTATGAAATGGGTATACCCACACCAGCTTGTTTGGGGAGGGGTGGATAAAATCGAGGACAAGCAGCTAAGCTTAGCACAGGAGCCTAAGTGGGTAAGAGCTCAAAACAGGAGTACTATTATTAACCAGTGCCTGTGTTAGTGGCCTTCCAGTCCTTCCCCCTCAGCTCACCACCACTCCCCACACTGGAACTGAGCCTTCTCTTTGGGTCCCCAGCACCTAGCCTGGGCCAGGAGCAGAGCATGAGCTCGGTGAATGTTTGAGAAACGAACTAATGAGGCAGATTGGGGAATGGGTTTAAGGGGTCTTTGATTCCCCCTAAAATTACCCACAAGCTTTGGTGAACCTGGACACTTTCCTGGGGAGTGCACCTGGAGTTTTCTTCGGCTTCTCAAGGTGTCTGTGAGCCACCAAGGGTCTTTGAGCATAACTGTTTCCCAGAGAGGAAAGGAACAGGGCCTCTGCCCCTAAACACACCCAGGCACGGGCTCTCACAGCCAATGGCCCCCTCTCCTGGTCCCCCTTTCCTGGCCGTGGGGTCCCGTCTTGCCTCCCGGTTCCATTAGGGACTCTCAGGAAGCTGCACCATAAGGGAATATCCACCTGGGCCAGGCATATGCAGTGGCTGGAGACAAGAAATAAAAGACGCAGATGCAGCCCTTGAGAAGCCCCAGGAGGGTGGGGGAGAGAGGAGATTATTATACTATGTGACTGGTGTGACAGGAAAGGGTGGAGGGAGTGTCAGGGAAATAAATACTCAAGCTGAAACAAGCCACCATCATATCCTACCTGGATTTCTGCGCTAGCCTCTCTCCCCCTTTTAAAACACTTCTCAGATCTCATGACTCCCATGCTTAACATCTCCATTGGCTTCCTGGGACACTTAGAATAAAATGCAGGTGCCTTTTCGTGGCTTTTGAGAAAGGCCCACCTTCCTGATTTCATCTCCCTCTGCTCCTTTCTCCTGAATCTGCTGTGCTCCTCATTCCTGCTGAAGGGCCTCTGCACTTTCTGTTCCCTCCTCCAGATGCTTTTTCTGGATATCATCAAATGGCTGACTCCTTCTTCCCATTCAGCATTTAGCTTAAATATCACCTGAGTGGCCTTTCTAGCACTCCTGGGTAAAGTAGCCCCCCCTCCTTCTATCTCTTAACCCTGTTTTATGTTCTCCATAGCTCACCTTATTTAAAAGTATTCATTGTCTGTCTCTTACCTAGAACACCAGCTCCATGAGGGCAGGTATCTTGTCAATCTTGTTCACTGCTTTATCCCCAAGGTTTGGCACATAGTATGTCCTCCAATTTTTTGTTGACATAGTTAAGGGGGCTGGTGGGAAAGAAAGCTTTCTGGACAAAAGGAAAAGTAAAAGGGCTCTAATGCTTATTAAGCTCCAATTATGGGCCTGGCCCATCCTGTGTTTTGTTATGTCTTATAAGAGCCCCTTTGAGTTAGGTACTACTATTATACCCATTTTACTGATGGGAAAACCATGATGCAGAGGGGAAAAGTAACTCACTCAGGAAATGGTAAAACTGGGATTGAAACCCAGGTCACTCCTCAAAGGCACGGGTGTATTTCTCTCCCTCTCCACCTCTCTGATATTTGACCTGGGCCCTCAAAAATAGGATTTAAAAAAAAAAAAAAAAAAAAGAATAGGATTTCAGCAAGTGAAGGAGAAGGGAGAGGGCACTGCAGCCTGAGGGAAGAGCAGGAGCAAAGGCGGGGCGCCAGGCAGTTCCGTGGGTGTTGAGGGTGAGGTGAGCATCCTGGTGTGGCCTTGGAAGGCCAGGAGAGGAGCTTACATTCTCTCGTGAGGGCGATGGGGGCCATTGATGGTTTAGAATTAGGGCAAGTGGCATGACCAGAGATGCAGTTTTAAAAGGTCACTCTGGGCAGCATGAAGAGGTTGAAGAGGAAGGGGCGGGTAGAGGAGGAGGATTCTTCCTTTCTTTCCCACCAGCTTCCCTGGGGCAGCCATGGGAGACCCATCTCATGCCAACCCCCTCCTTTTTTTAGGCTCATCCCGTGAAGACTGGAAGCTGAGGGCTCCAGGCCCAGGCATCAGAGCGGACCATGGCTCCCAGCCCCTGGGGCTGTGTGTATGGCCTCCTGCTGCTGTTGCTGCTGCTGTCCCTGGGGGCTGGCTCTGCCCTGGGCCGGGGCCTTCCCAGACCACTTGAGGACTTGGAACCACACTTGATCCCAGGAGCCCACCCCAAGGGCCCTGTTGGCACAGAGCCCCAGGCCTTTGACTTCTTCTGGGAGAAGCCCAGAGATGAGAGCCCCTGGAACTCCAATGTCCCCCAGGTCCCTGCTGAGGAGGTGCCTGCGAGGCCCACAGACTCCCTTGGCCCAGCCCTGCATGGACCTAAAGCATCCCATGGGGTGCAGAGAGAAGGACTCCCAGTAACTGATGACCTCCAGGTGGCTCGAGGGCCAATTTTTCAGGGCTGGACAGGACCTCCCGAATCACAGGAGTCTATGGAGCAAGAAGCACCAGCCCCCTATCCAGTGGGCACCCCCCATCTCACTTTCATCCCCACAACTCCCAGACTCCAACTCGGGCTAGCCACAGTTCCCCCCACCCCAGGACAGCCTGGAAGCCAAGTGGGACAGCGACCACCTAGAGATGAGGGTCTTGTGGCCAAAGCCAAGATCAGGGTCTCAGAGACATCCCCCTGGCACCACAAGGGCCCTCCCCACACTCCTGCGCCACGCCCAGGCACTGTCCTGAGGCCAGGGCTGAAAGGACAGGGTGGGAGTGAGGAGGACTTCCAGGAGGCAGCTCAAGGCCCCCTCCTCACTCAGCAGGAGCCAGCAGCCCCTGATGCTGGCTCAGCATCACCAGCTGAGGTGGCATCCTCTCAGGAGCCTGGGTCCCAGCCGGACCTGGCATTGGCCAGAAGCCTTCCTCCTGCTGAGGAGCTGCCCATGGAGCTCCCCAAGAAGGCTGGAGGTGGGGAGACCTGGGAAGTCAGTATTCCGAGTCCCTCACCCAAACAGACTGACCTCCCTGATGTTAGGGGCTCATCAGGACCCCAGCCCTCAGGTCTCCCAGCCTCAGAGACTCCTCATGGGCAGCCCAAGCCAGGTGGGTATCAAAGTGAGGGTGCTGAGCAGGGCTGGGACGGGCAGTGTTCTAGGGCAGCTGGATGCCCCAGTTTCTGTGTGACCTCTGATCCCTCTGGGTCCTGCTTTCCTCATTCTGGCAAATGAGGGTGGTTGTGCCTCCCTCCTGGGGGATTAGATTTTGGGGAATGCTGGAGGGTCAGGCAAAGCAGTGACTGCTTTTGTTATTTCAGAGATAGCAGCAATGAATGGAGCAGACCCCATCTCCCCCCAGCGGGTGAGAGGAGCAGTGGAGGCCCCAGGTACCCCCAAGTCCCTCATCCCTGGCCCTTCGGACCCTGGCCCAACTACAAACGGAACAGAGAGCCCTGTGGGAGCCCTGCAGCCAGGTGAGGGCATGGCTCAGGGGTTGGGGAGATCGGGTACTCTAATACCTAAGAACTTGTGTGAGGTATATATGCAAGGGATGGGGAGTGAATGGGGACAAACACCTCCTTAAAGGAAATGGCCAACAACTTCAAACAACTTAGGATAATAAACTACTACTCACTGGGTACTCTGGGAGAAGTCATTTGCACTTTGGGGGCTAGAAAATTCTTAAATATAAATTCTTAAGTATACATGGGTATATTTAGTGCAGTGATTCTCCAACTCCCACAGTTCGCCAGAAGAGCTTTTAAAAAATTCCAATGCCCAGGCCCCAGCACAAGGAATTCTGACGGAGTTGATCTCCAGGTGATTCTAATATGCAGTCCCCGTTGAGAGCTGCTGGAATGTTAATAAAAATGATAGGTCACATCCATTTAACACTTATTGGGTGTTGGGGACTGTGCTAAACATTTAATCCTCACCACAACCCAGTGAGGAGGGGTGCTGTTACCATCCCCATTTTACAGATGTGCTTAGAAAAGTTAAGTAACTTGCTCACCACACCGGAGGATGATGGAAAATCAAAAGTACTTTTCAAAGGGCTATTTTAATATTATTATTGTTGCAGATGAAGCTGAGGAGTGGCCGGGGCGCCCCCAAAGCCATCCCCCAGCGCCCCCTGTCCAGGCCCCCTCGACGTCACGCCGGGGCCTCATTCGGGTCACCACGCAGCGTGCCCTGGGCCAGCCACCCCCTCCGGAGCCCTCCGCCAGCTCCGTGGCATCAGTCCCAGCCTCCAGTCCCCCGGCCAACGCCACCTCACCCCCCCTGCGCTGGGGTCCCCTGCGGCGGGTGCTGAGCTTTTCCTGGGAGCTGCACGTCTACGGGGTCGGGGTGCTCTTCCTGCTGCCTGCGTTGTTGGCACTGGCCTCGCTGGCAGCCGCCCCTGCGGGGCCCCGGTTGGCACTGGTGGCGGCGGTGCTGGTGCTGGTGGCGTCGGGGCTGCGGTCCGCCTACATGCTCACCGACCCCTATGGCTCGCAGGCACGACTGGGTTTACGCGCCGGCCTGGTGCTCTACAATCTGCCCTTTCCCTTGCTACTCACCGCGCTGGCGGCCCTGACCCTGCTCGGCCTGGGCGCGGGGCTGCCACAGCAGCTGCAGAACCCTCTCCTCCTGGGAGCGCTGGCGTTGGCGCACGGCTTGGGGCTGCTCGCCACAGACCTGCTGTCGGCGAGGCCTGCTTTCAACCTCCTGGCTCAGGGCTTATCGTGCGCCTGGGGCGCGTCCGTGGCTCTGGGCACGCTCTGCCTGTGCCGTCGCCGCCTGCTGGACGGGCCGAGGGGCTGGGATGCCAGTCCGGGCCCGAGGCTGCTGGCCGTGGCGGGCGCGCTGGGGCTGCTGGCCAGTGGCTTGCAGCTGGCGGCCGCGCTCTGGCTGTACCCGGGCCCCGGCCGGGTGGGCCACTTCTCGTGGGCCTGGTGGGGCGTCCACTTCTGGCTGCGCCTGCTGGAGCTGACGTGGGCGCTCACCCTGGCGCTGGCCGCTCTGGCCGCCGCGCGGCCCAGGCCGCCCACAGAGCACGCCTGCTGGGCTAAGCTGCTGCGCCTGGCGTGCCCTGCGCCCTCCGGCAAGAGCGAGGTGCCCGAGAGGCCCAACAACTGCTACGCGGGGCCCAGCAGCGTCGGCGCAGGTACCCTGGACATTAGCAAGAGCCTCATCCGCAACCCGGCGGAGGGTGGGCCTCCAGCCACGCCCAGTTCAGGCGCCTGGGGTTCGGCTGCGTCGCTGGGCCGCGGTCCGCTGGGTGGCCCAGGACTGTCCCGCAGCAGCATGGGGCCGGCGCCATCGATGAGCGAGCTGGACCTGCGGCCGCCATCACCCATCAACCTGAGCCGCAGCATCGACGCCGCGCTCTTCCGAGAGCACTTGGTGCGAGACAGCATCTTCCGGCGCTGCGGCCTCCGTGGCCTGGCCTCCCCGCCGCCCGGGGGCGCGCTGCGGCCGCGCCGGGGCAGCCACCCCGACGCCGAGCTAGACGGCGCAGGTTCTTCGCTCCTCCGCGGCCGCAGCCGGTCGCTCAGCGACGTGCGCGTGCGCGGCCCGGTCCCACCACATGTAGCGGACGAGCCTGAAGGGGCGGCTTCCGGCAGCTCCGTGGACAGCTTCTCACGGGGCTCGCTCAAGATCAGCTGGAACCCCTGGCGCCACGGGCTGTCGTCGATGGACAGTCTGCCCCTGGATGAGCTGCCCAGCACGGTGCAGCTACTGTCTGCCCCAGCTCCTGCCCCGGGGCCCGCCCGGCCCGGGGAGCCCCAGAATGGGATCCAGCCTCAATGCAAGCCCGGAGACTCCCGCAGCGCCTCCAGTGACACCATCGAGCTCTGAGGGGGTCCAGAAACTCAGAACCAGGGCCCCGCCCTCGATGGCCCTACCGCGGCATGACCTTCTGGGATGCTGAGCATTTGAAAAACATTCCGGGAGTATTCCTGGGCCCCAACTGATTGCAGCCTCTGGAGACAGCCGGACACGAACCCACCCCCACCCCCAGATTTTTGTTTTTTAAAATATCTCTATTTTTCAGCGGGTATTTTGCACAGAGGCCATGACTTATGCGGAATACAGGGTGGACATGCACGTATTTGGGAATGGGGAACAGGGTCCAGGTGCCCTAACATCCCATCCAGAGTCTCCAGTGTGAAGATGAGGCTCGACTGTCCAGACTGTCCTCTTTGTGCCAAAGAAATAAACCCTTAGGACTTGGCTCAAGCCTCCCTGCGGCCATGCCAGGATCTTGTTTAGAGGATATGCCCACCCCCAGTGATTTCAAGTGCTGTGTTTATTGCGGAGGGGAGGACTTCCAAAGGAAAGGGCCCTCAACCCCTGGAGACTTTAGAAATAATGGCTATCAATATTTCATGGAACATCTGTCTGCTGTACGCTGTCTTCAGCTTTTCACATCCATCACCTTAATTCTCACATTAAGCCTGAGTGAGAAGCGTTATCATGCCCATTTTATAGATGAGAAGAGTGAAGTTCAGAGATGAAAGTCATTTGTCAGGGTCCTTTGGCAAATGATAGCTGGTACTGAACTGAGAAAGTTCCACTCCTAAGCCTGGTTCCTCCATCCCATCTCCCTTCTCTTTACACTACTTCAGGGCCAACCCTCTCCTTTGTCCTCCTTCTACTGCTCCTCCATCAGGATACCCTCAGTTTCCCAGGGTGTTAGGAAACTTCCCCAAGGGTGGAGGGGCTCTCAGTAGCTTAGGCCAACCTATGGTGGGTGGGGGCAGGTAGTAAGACAAGCTTCTCCATTTTCCAAGACCTTTCTTTATTTCCTGAGATGAATAAATAAATCAGTGGCTGAGGGGCAAGGGGGTGAGGACAGAACAGGAGCTGACAGCATGCAGCTGGCAGGAGGGGGTTGTGAAGGGACACCCTCCCCCCACATCCTGGGCAGGGGCCAAAGCTCACGAGCAGCCACAACGAGGAGACACTTTTTAAAAAAATTCACAGCACTGTGAAGCCTGACCAGTGCCCCAAGGCCCAGATCTCATGGCACCCACCTATAGGGCTACTTTTTCACCCAAGGGCCTCAGCTGCCCAGGCCCAGGTGTCTGCGCTGCTCCATAAGGTGGGTAGAGGGTGCTTACCGCACTCAAAAATAAAGCAAGTGCCTCAAGTGTCCAGGTGGGAGAGTCCCGACCTTGGGGGCAGCCTGGGCAGGAGGAGATGCTGCAGGTGTGGCAGGGATTATCTGCCCTTGATGAAGCCCTCCAGCACACGGTCACTGCGCTCTGACAACCAGTAGCCGGTCATGGCTGCCACAGCCCCAATGAAGATAGCGGTGAAGACCAAGTCACCCTTGGCGGCCAGCGTAGCCAGTGCACAGATGATGACACCGAAGAACATCTGCTGCAGCACCACCAGCTCGTCCTCTGTCATCTCCGAGAAGAAGCCTGCTGACTCTGGGCAAGAGAAGCGCCCATCACTCATCCCCTGTTCCTGGAGCCTCCCACACACCTGATCATCACTGCCACACGCCTGCCTGGCACGCCAGCACACAGTGTCATTTACTGCTGAGAACAACTCCAAGACGGGCATTTATTATCCCTGTCTTACTAGATGGGAAACTGAGGCGCAGAGAGGTGAAGAGGTTTGCCCAAGGCCACGTGGGAGAGTTGGGTCAGAGCATGTGTACTAGCCCCACTGCAGAGCCAGAGTGCCTGGATATGACGCCCAGCTCTGCCACCTGCTTGCCATGGGGCCCTGGACAAGTTTTTTCATCTCTCTGCGTCCCTACTTCTACTATGCAAGATGGGGATGAGAACAATAGCTACAGCACTGGATTTGTTTTAGGGGTGAAATAAGTTAATACATGCAATATGCCTGGAACAGCGTGTGACACACAGGAACTGTGGAAGTGGTCACTATCGTCACCACTGTGACTGTCCTTCGTCTCATCACCCCCACGGCCTACAAGAGCCCTCGGGCGGGGCAAGGGCAGATGAAGAAAGAGGCTCGGCGGGCACAGAATGATATGACACCAAGTCCAATTTCCTTTCTACCCTGGGAGGTGTGAGGTCACCAAAAGCCACCCTGGGGGTCAGAGGTGGGGTTCGGGTCCCAGTGCAGCCTCATGAGGGCTGGGTGGCAGTGCAGGTGGGCCAGGGCCTGCAGCTGCCTGAAGGAGGGGCTTGCCTGCCCTCCCCCTGGATAAGGACCTCCCCTCCCCAGGTTTCTGGGGCCGAGCTGGGGCTCACCTGGGATCTGCTCCTTCACACAGAAGCCCTCGATCTGTTTGTAGCCCTCAGCACAGACACAGCGGTAACTGCCCTCGGTGTTCTCGCACTGCTCGTTCTCTCCTGGACACACCGCCATCTCACACTCGTCCACGTCTTGACGGAGGCCAAGGAGAGGTCAGAGCCCTGACCGCCAGGGTCCCACAGGCAGCACCCCTGACTCTGGTCTCACTCACATCCTGACACCTGCTCTGTGCTGACGCAGGCAACGTTCCACCCTTCCTTCCCACGCCCTGTCCACATTTCAGCCCCTGTCAATTTGTGGTGGATGAGACGCTCCCAGGTGGCAGGACACTCACCGAGACACTTGGAGCCCACCTGCTGGTAGCCAGGGCTACACTTCTTACAGCGGCCAGGCCCTGCCCCCATGCAGCCCAGGCAGGCCTTGGCACAGTCTGGAGAAGGGAGAGGACAGACAAGGGTGCGAGCTGCCCGTATGCCTGGAGGAAGCCCTGCTCCAGAAGAGGCCTAGGGCAGGGGGTGGGGTGGGGGGCGGTGCCAGCACCTGGGAACGCGGCGGTTTTGGGGGAAAGGCGTGGAGCAGTTCCTTCTACCCTCCCCACACCCCTACCCCGCAGGAGCGGACAGTTACCTCGGCACTCATAGGAGCCCTCCGTGTTCACGCAGAACTGGTGGGCTCCACAGCTGGCTCGCTCTGTGCCACACTCATCAATGTCTGCAAAGAGGCCGGTAGGGTGGGGATTTCAATCCCTATTTCACTAACAGGGAAGCTGAGGCCAGGGTTGTTGGGAATGGACTTGCCCAGGCTTAAACAGTGTGGCTGATACTGCAGGCTGTCCACCAACACAGATGCAGAGGTGCAGCTGGACTCAGGGCTGTCGAGCTAGAGACTGTGTTTTTCAATCTGCCTTGCAGCTAAGTGTGGCCTTGTGATTCAGTTCTGGCCAACGTGTTGTAAACAGAAGTGATGTGCTCCACTTTTCACTTGGCCTTAATACAACAGACTTGGATCCTCCGTGCACTTTCTTCTCTTTCGCACTTCCTGGATACCAGGTCATGATACATAGAGGTGACCGTGATCCAGCCTCAACACCCAAGGGGATGACTGTCCAGTAAGACAGGATGAATCTAGGTCTTTAATGACTATGACAAGCAGAGCTTTTCTGCCAGTCTGGACCACTGGCTTCCAGATTGTGATATGAGATGAAAATAAACCTCTAAATTCATTAAGCCACAGTCTTTGGGGATCTTTCTGTTACAGCAGCTTAGTTTTTACCCTCGTCTCGAACACAGGTTTCCTGATCCCAAGTTCAGTATGCTCATTCTCCGGGTTAACCCTTCTTCAATTTTCGAGACTTGACCCAAGTGACACCTCCTCCAAGAAGGCTTCCCTGATTCCCCACTACCACTGAATTGGAAGAGACATTTCTCACTGTACAACGATCAGTCTATACTGTAAGCGCCTGGTTACTTTTCTGCCTTCCCAACCAGGCTGATATCTCTATGAAGATGGGGACTGGACTGGTCTAGCCCAGAGATGTGTGTGTTGATGGGGGACCAAGCCCAAGACCTTGCCCACCCCTCCAGATCTAGGGCAGGGTCCCACTCACCTACACACTTGAGGTGATGCAGGGCCCAGCCCTTCTTGCACTGTAAACAATTTGATTCCTCAGGTCCTGAGCAGCGGGCACAGGGGCCAAAACAAGCTGGGTAGAATGGGGGAAGTATGAGGGTGGGCAGGCAGGTACCCCACACGCCCCTGCCCAAGGCCACGCCTCTTGACTACCTACCCGAACATACCAGATGGCTGGCATTGCGCTGTGCCTCAAAGTAGCCGAGGCCACACTGGCCACAGGCCTCACCCCCATAGCCGGCTTGGCAGTCACAGTGCCCGCTGCCCCCTCGAGTTCCTTCCCCTTCACACTGCCCGTAGCCACCGCAGGGCCGCTCCGCACCCCCAGGACAGGCTGTGGGCAGACACCAAACCAGGTGGGATCATAAATACAACCTTGTACGTACAGAATATTTTCCCCGTATTAGTAAGCATTTTTGGAGAGGAAACAATTTTAACGACATCATAATATTTTGTCATAAAACTGTATGAAATTTACTTAACCAACACCCCATTGTGGAACAGTTAGGTTATTTACAAATCTTTTCTTTTATAAAAACTGAATTGACCATCTTTGTTGCTAGCTCTTTGTATCTGCAGCTTTGAGAGAGATTTTTCTAAAAGGGGCTGGTAGTTAAGTTCAGCTCCTGCCTCAGGACTGTGTGTAGAAAAAGGTGGTGACAACAGGGCCTTCAGCAGCACCTGCCCGTCCCTAGGAAGGTCACCTTAGTCCAGACATGGGAAATGCCTGGTGAGGGGGGGCATTTCTTAAATACATGACAGAAACCATGGCCGCATCTGACTCAGTCTAACCCCATATCCTTTTTCAGAGCCGTTCCCCAGGGATTTGTGCATCTCACCAGCCCTATGAGGCAGGCGAGAACAGAGGTCCAGAGAAGTGATATGAGCAGCCTGAGCTCACACAGCCAGCCAGGGGCCGAGCCAGGACTGGATCCCTGGCCCCAGCAGTCCCCTTCCATCCCCCAAGAGGAACTTGAAAAACTCACGAAGGCAGGAGGGCCCAAAGGTGCCTGAGGGGCAGCAGAGCTTCAGGGAATCTGAGCAGAGCCACTGGAAGAGGTCTGGGGCTTCCTGCTGCCTGAGGCGGAGGGATGGTGAGGGGGCTGAGACAGTGTCAGAGGTGCTGCCATCTCCCGCAACCTCCCACAGGATCTGTGATACAGCCCGTCTTGGGCGTAAGACCCATAAGGCTGCCCTTTCCCCGTCTGACAGAGGGGCAGTCTGCAGCTCAGAGTGAGAGCTTGGGCCCCCCAGCAAGTCCTCAGCACACCTGGTTTTGGAGGAAGGAGCTGAATGAGGACACAGCCCCTAGCTCGCCACCCTCTGCTTTACCAGCCAGCCCTGCCTGAGCCCCTCCCAGGAAGGCCCCTGCTACTCACTTGTGAAACCACCAGCTCTCCACCAGCTCCTCACTCAGCTCCAGCAGGCGGTGGCACTCGAAGTCCGACTTGCTGCACACGCCCTCGAGCACCTCTACCAGGCGGGTCTCACTGACCAGACAGGGATGGGTGGTAGGAACACACTTCAGCCCACCCACCACCCTCTTTACAATCTCCCCCCTCCCCACCTCATGCCAGATAATGTCAAAGGCCAGAGGCCACAATGGAAGGGGTATTGGTTTGGGGAGACCTGGGTTCCAATCTAGTAGTGTGACCTTGGGCAAGTAACTTAACCTCTCCTGAACGTGTTTTCTCATCTGTAAAATGGGGACAATGGCTCTCCTCTAGGTTGGCTGGAAGATAGTTCAGTCCCTGCATCTGTACAACAGAATATAATACCCTTGCTGGGTAGATGTGGTTAA